TTTTAAAATTCTGCTACACCAGCTCTGTAACTGGCCCTTACCATAAATATTTCATATTTTTTCTCAGTGTTCATACTACTAAATGCATAAAATTAGCAGCTTTTTTTATACATTCTAAATGCATTTAGTTTTTTTAGAATAAGAGAAATCTTTAATTAAATCCAAAAATTCTATTATGAAAAGGAAACGTGTTGAAGAGAGAAACTGAATACATAAAGAAAATTATTCATCAAAGATATGTACAGTTATTATTATGTAAATTATCCAATTGTCCTTAATTTCCGTGTGCAGAAATGTGTACGAACCCTGGAAGTTGTTCCGGTTTTACCCACATTTTGAATATATCTATTGACTTTCGATTTACATCTAATGATGGATTCGCTGTATTTTAAACAATGTTCTACCTCTGTCTCTAATTCCTGAACAGGGCTTTGAGCATTAATACTTCATCATATTTTAACGAGCTAGTTTCTCTCTCAATTAACACTGAAAGCGATTCCTGCAACACTTCTAGGTTCGGATTCTCGCTTTGCAATTCCTCTTCCAATTTCCTTATTAATTTTGTTACACTTGTACAAACCGAACCTCTAATTTTTCTATTTCTCTTGATTGTTTCTTCAAAACTCATTTTCAAAGATAAATTGCATGCAGATAAAATGAAATGACTCACCTTTCCGGCCGATGCACCAAGAATTTTGATGTATGTAATAACTTACTTAATATTCCATACTCGGCATCAGTGGATCTTGATATGATATCAAATAAAAACACTTTCCTTTAACTAAAACTATTTATGAATCAAAGACTATGTACAAGTATTATATACAGATTACAGGATATCTAGTTTACACCACTCTCATTAACCTCTCAACTCTCTCTCATGAAAACTTTTAATTAGCTACACATACGGGCGGTGTATCTCTTTTTTCTACAGCAACTGCCATTTTGAATGTGAATTATATTTTCGAGGAATATTTTTTGACAATTCACTGGCAAATATGGGTATGTATCTTTTGACTGGGCTCATAGGTTGCAATTTAGTTGGCCGACATCTGCTTCAGTTTTTAAATTTTCCCTTAAAATAATTTTGCAAGGAGAGAAACAAGTGATAATTGGAGGGTGCTAGGTCTGGGGAGTATGGTGGATGTGAAAGAAATTCGCTATGGCAACAAAAGCTATGGGTGCAGGTTTGGATCCCGGACACATGGTTGTAACTGTCCATCCCTTCATAGGAAGCAGCAGTGGCCATCTATTAGGTGCTTCCATAATGAAATGGCCACCACTTCTGGCCCTTATAGTGGTGCGAGGCTAATGGCTATTAAATAAAGCACCTGGCCATTAAAAATAATAAAGTAACAATATTTTCCATTTTGGAGACTACAATTACTACAATTGAGACTACAATCTGGAGATACAATATTTTGAATCTGAAAAATAAACAAGGTAATAAATGCTATAAAGTTCAATTTATGAAACAGTTCTTAGCAAAAGCAAAATAGTTTTGTAATTAATTTTAAATGTCTTTCTTTTTTTCATGATCAGAGTTATTCTCATATGATTGTCTCAGAATACGCATCAGTTTTCTTTTTATACAATTAATTTAACACTTTTCCCCCTCTGATTTTTTTTCCTCAAAATATTTCTGGCTTTTTCTATTACAGAATTGGTAGGGGTAATTTTTCTTTCCGATTTTATACATGGCAACTTCGAAAGTTTTGAAGTATTTGAAGGCAAGAGTTATAGACTTATGATTCTAAATGATTTCAGAAAAATGTGACAAAATGAAAAATGTCTCGATGGTATTAACACATAATGGATGTATTTCACAAAAAGTTTTTGATGAATTTCTTACTTTTTGGAGAATTTTTGGAAAAAAAATGGGGGTGGGAATTCAGTGTTATCTTCTGATACTAGAAGTCCTTTTCTTAATATGTTTATTTTCCCTGCTTCTCTTCTTTTTGCTAGACACAAACAGGGAAATATCAAGAATGCTTCTAATCTTATCACATGGACAGGCATATAAAAAGGAATTTTTCTGCTAATAAAGAAACTGAAAATTGGCACTTTAAAAGATTCATTTTATATGTATGTCTCAGCAACATCTACAGGGCTGCTGCGATTTATTTCCCATTTGATGCAATCTCAGTGGGTCCTAAATTCTAAAGTGTTGCTATTTCTAGGATTTATTGCTCGCTATGTCATTAAATTCTAACAAATCTGCCACTCTGGCTCTGTAACCATCACTGAGCATATATCATTTCATATTTATTCTGAATGTTCATATTACTAAAGAAATAAATTATCAGTTTCTTCTATACATTCAAATGCATGTAGTTTTATAGAATAACAGAAATTTTGAAAGAAACTGAATGCATAGAGAGTAAGAAAATTATTCTTCGAAGATATGTAGAGTTATTATTATGTAAATTAACCAATTTTTTATAATTTATCCTTTTTTTGTTTCCTCGCCAGAATGCAAATCAGGGAGGTAGTATTTAAAGTGAGGTTTTGGGGTTGTAAGACAGTGTGTGTTTCTGGCCTCCACTTACACGCATTATTTTCTGCCAACTCTGATAATTTGTAATTATTCCTCTTTGCACTATCGCTGGTGACATTTGAATTTGTTCCGATGATAGAGTTACTAAGCCAGCTTAGATTAGAATTAAATTGTGTAGTCTGACCAATAGTCCACATTTTTAGTTTGAATATAAGTGTTCCTGTTTAGTTACATCACCATGAGCTGTAGTTAAGTTCATTTAGCATAAGAATGTGCCTTTATGTTCTAAGTTATGTTTAAATAAAGAGGCTTATTTAAACCTTTAATCTCACCTTGTAGTTATTTTCAGACGTGATAATATTTTTCATGTCTGTCAGGAGTTTGGGACAATTTTCAAGTAAACCCTAGCAAGTACATTGCTGAGATATTGACAAGCTAGGAGATAAAGCAGAAACTAGTGGGAACATTGGTTTGGTTTGTGTGTTGAAACGAATATTGGTTTGGTTTGTGTGTTGAAACAAATTTTTAATTGTTAAAAAATATGATTTTAGAGAAGGAATACCCAAAATCTGTGGGAAAGCTTCAAATAAAAAAAAGCTTGGAAAATATTTTGTTGTGTTATTGTTACGAAACATAAATGGGAAAAAGTATATTTTTGGGTACCCCTTGGCGATTTTTGGCGGCACATGGATACCGAGTTTGTGCAATTCTTTGACTTGTTACTTTGGCTTGTCCGCTACACGAAGCCAAAATAACGAGACAAAAAATTGCACAAACTTGGTATCTATCGACACATCGGCACTTTCATCGACACATCATTACTTAAACACATGGACCTATTTTCACCTAAAAAAAATCCCAGAATTGCACAAACTTGGCATTGCACGCTCCCTTGACTTTATCCATGTACACATCGATCTATTTTCACTTTAAAAACATTAGAAAATTGCACAAACTAGGCATTGTGCATTCCCTTGACGTTGTCCTTGTACACATCGAACTATATTCACTTAAAAAGTCAAAGGAGCAGCCAACAAAAAAAATACGTAATCTTAATAAACTACATTTTAAATCAAACAATGAAATAACATAAAAAAGGAAATTCATCTGTGCACTAGGAAATATCCACTTACCTTATTTACAAATTAACACGTCTTCAGTCAAACAAAATTCCTTAACAGCATCCAAAAATTTCCTAAAATTATCTGAACTAGAATCTGTGTACTGGCGTTGCCACATAAATTCACGAAATAAGAGTCAAAAATATCCTCCTTAGTGATGTATTGTCCGACCATATGCATTTTCTTCCTACAAACAGGACACTTAATAATGGTTACTAAGTAAACCTTCATTTACACACCAGTCAAGTAATGCTGTTTTCCCCTTTCTTTCCAAATTGTACAGAAACTTCAAATTAATCTTATCACATTCAGTCATTTTACCATCTAAACCAGAAAACAAGCAACGTACTTCCTAACCAACACACACGACAAGCCCTTACAAATTCACCGCAATCATGCAACCAATTACGTCATGATAGGGTTTCCATAACATTCAACTACTCAGGCTACCATAAATAAACCACCACTTGGTGATAAATGAAGCAATTTCGCGATAATACAAGGGGTACTCTTTGCTTTACTCTAACACATAAATGTTTTGGTAGCTTTTAGTGTATAATTATCCTAATATTGTTTAAGGTCCAGTGTCATAAATTACTTATGTTTTAAACTCTGAATGCTATTAGATTGTGATTTTAATAGTGACCACGTTAAATCTATAATAACTAAGGGTATCTTAACTACCTAATGTAATTATATGCTACTATTTGCTCACCCTTAAAAATTACCTCTGCATGTTAAAGTGAGTTTATTGCCTTTCATTAATCCTAACCATGATCACAAGATACAATACAAAAATGTAAAAACTAATGTAAAATGTATTCCTTACAGCTAATGAGACTTAAAATAATACAAAACTTAATCACCTCTGGTGCTTTAGTGCCTTATAGGAAATTTAAAGTGGTTACACCCCCAGGACAAGCAGCAGTGGTGGTTACAGTGAGTCTTATGTTATGAATCATGCTAATTATGGTTTTACTTATTTTAATCTATGCCATTTGACCTAAAATCTGTCTGCCATTCGCTAAGCCAGTGACTGAGAAAGTACGTGACGAAATGAGGCGTAAAAGAAAATATCAACATAAAGCTAATTGTTGGTGAAACATAAAATAAAATGTCAGTAATCTTCTTTCAAATATGTCCGACTATTATAAGTGTAAAATAATAAATGCTAGTTGATAAATTCTATCAAGTTGACTTTATTCTCATATTTGTTATATCTTTATTATGTTATTCAGTTCCCATTTACTGATAGCTCTTTTTTTTTTTTTTTTAATTAGTGGCCCTAAAAAGTACTTAATTCCCATGTGCAGAAATGTATACGAACCCCCGCTTTTTTTTAATTAATGTATCATTGTAATTTATTCTGCTTTATTTCTCAGATTCGATACGGTGATAATGTAGTGTCTATGGGAAATGAACTGACACCTACTCAAGTGAAAGATCCTCCTACACATATTAGCTATCCAACAGAAAAGGGTGGACTGTACACATTGTGTATGACTGGTAAGATTGAGCTTTGTTCTAGATAAAAAAAAACATTAAATATTGTTTAAAATTCTTGAACATTCATACTTATGCTGCTATGTAGATTGCATGTACCAACAGGGCCGGCGCTAGAGCAGGCTTAACAGGTGCAGCTGCACTGGGCACCAGAATTTGTAAAATTTAGGGAGTTACTGGGCATCATATTCTAGGAATAAGTAATTGCATTGAGCAGAAAAAAAAAAAAAAAAAAAAAAAAAAAACCTAATGCTGTTACTGTGTACCATATGCATATGTGTGGGGTTTTACCTTTCCACCCACATTTCTTCAACACTGTTGTCTTGTCCCGATTTCTCCTTCACTACCTTTGTCTTTTTCACATGCCCGTTAATAATTTCTGAGGGATGGCAAAGAAAGAACTCTTCTCTTCTGTTTGGAAAGTGTGCTCTGTTTATCACTCAGATTAATGTCATTCTAACACTGTGCATATGTTTTAATTTATTAAAAGAATTTATTCTTTACAAATTGGTGTTTAATAATCATTTAAAAACATAAATATGTTAAAATATTTTTAATATATTATCCTTTAACTGCTGTGACATAAAATGTTGCATAACTACTGTGAGTGGTCTCTCAGACCACTTCTGCTAAAAATATGATAAAATATTCTTTTATTTTTCTTATATGACTAAATGTTATTTAATTTCATATATGTAACTTTTTATGAAGACATAAAGCAATTTTTATATTTAAATCACTTCATTAAACTAAAATATATACTATGCATAATGATGATGATGTCATGTCTATGACAAAGTGCAAATTATATAGCTTCGAAGCTGTCAAAGACAGCTTTTGCAACCTCGGCAGCTCTATCAGTATAAAGTAGGTCCACTGGGTCTTCAATGCCGATGTTAAACAGTCTGTCCTGGATTGCTGGGCAGCTGAAGATGTGATGGCGAGACAGTGGGATGTCATCTGGGCAATGAGGACAAATGTTGGTGAACTACGCTGTCCCTCTGCAGAAATCCTCATCCCTTTTAAGTGATTTGTCCTAAGTCTGGTTATGATAGTCGATATGGCTGTGTCACAGTTCAATTCCAGGATGGAGTTTCCTTTAACTTGATCGATGCATAATAATTCCTTCATTTAAAAACGTTTAATTTTCTTTTGCTTACGTATCTGAATGCACAAAGTAAATTTTAAACTACAACTTTTTTTATTTTACATTACAATTTACGATAAGCATACTTTAGTGAGAATACAGAAAATTTTTATTCTAAGAGTTATAATTCGAGCTGCATGTCATACACACTTTTCTACTGCATTGTAGATACACTGTTTCTTTGCATGCTATACATTTGTAAGCTGTTTTCATTTTTTTGCTCAGTGAACAAATATAGCATGTTCTTTTTTTTTTATCTAATTTATCATATTCGATTGCAATGTTTCCCTCATCATCATTTATTCTGAAAACTCTATTGTAAGTTTGAGTTCTTTAGGGAAAAAATGATGACGTTATCTTCTGTTTTCCATGAGACTACACCAACTGGTTTGCTAATGAAATCATAAAATCTTTTCGTTTCATTTTCGGAGCTGTTGGGTAAGATTGAAATAATATGAATACATTTACTACACAGATATCCAAGATTCTGAAGAATACTGCCATAAGCCAACGTTGGGTTCAACAAGCAGTTAAATAGATTGAACATTTCTTGTCAAATTCATCCACACCGCCTTTGGTTATACATAGCTATGATTTCAGGCTTTCCTGAAGATGCATCATTTTCACAAGAATGGTACATTGATGATATCAAAATCACAGCTTCTCTTTCATTTAGAACATAAGAAATAAGCATCATGTCTTTCATAAAACCATACAGAGAACTATCCATTTTTCTTGACATATTAGCTTGAAATTCCTACTCAAGTAAAAGATCCTCCTTACATTACAATAGGGATTTCCTTTCTATCTCTTTTTGGAGTTCCCACAAATGTAAGTTTTCTTTCAAGATTTTTACAAGCTGAATGGATGAAAAACAATTATCTACTGTAATGTTTTCTATTAGTTTTTTTTATTGGTCCCACGAGGCGAAGATATGCCTGTGTCGGAATCTTCAATTGTTTTCAATTTCAGACAGCCCTTCTCCATCTGAATCTTTACCGCAGTAGATATATGCATTATACAGGTAGTTATTTCTTGCATCACAAACAAACAATTTTATGCCATATTTGGTGGGCTTTTTTTTTTTTTTTTTTTTTTTTTTCCAATATACATTTTATATTTACATCCTCCTCTGAATTTTACTAACATCTCATCAATACAGGCGTATTCTCCAATGGAATAATTGCTTTGTGACTGTATTGAATATTTTTGAAGCGGCTGCTTTTTTGTCATTTGCCATACACTGCTTTCTTGTCTCAGGATTATCAAATCGTAAAGAACAAAGTAAAAATAAAAACCTTATTTTGGTAGTAACACAGCAAAATATTTCACACCCTCTACTGTGTGTTACAAATAAACTATCAGAATCTTCCCGATTTGATTTGAATACTGCCGAATATAGTAAAAGTCCAAAAAATACCTTGATTTCAGTTTCATGAGTATCGATTAGTTCATGTCTTTTAGGATCAGAATATTTCATTAATGTTTTCATTAATTTTGACATTAAGTCCATTTTACAATAATTCTTACAATACTTTCATCAAAAAGTAAATTCCAAGCTCCTTTGGGTCGACTTTAAGGGCCTATTCAGGGCCTATTCTTGCAGCACTTCTCAAACCTGGTAGTTGAATAATATTGTGATTACGTGTCCGAACAGCCTTGTTTGGGCTCTTGAATATACCATTAGAATTAATTTCTTTCAGTAAAAAAATTGCTTGTAGAAGGAAGGAGAACATGGATCTTCATTTTCATTGGCAAATATTTCTGAATTTGTATCTTGGTCGCTTTCAATAATTTCATTATAGAACTCTAAATCAGACCAATTTCAAACAATTTCTTCAATTTGGTCTTGGGTATGAAATACAGAATGTTTCCTGCATGCATTTGAAGCTATTTCAAAAATATTTGTAAAAAGACAAAATATGTAACAACAACGAAAAGTGAACTTTATCAGCCGAAATGTGAAGCGTGTCCGCCGTGAACGGTCCCACAGACCACTGGGGGGGGATAAGAAAAATGAAACAGACCTAGCCAAATGACACTTGGTATGTGACCTTGGACAACTGGTTTAGGAAGTATACTGTATTCCGAGCGGAGAAATTCAAAAATTTATCTTGGTGCAATTTCTTCAGTTGTGCCAAGAATAATTCACTTAGCAAACTTCTTAATTTTCCTATTTTCCTTTCCTTTTTTCATTGTAGACTAGCGGGGAATAAGTCATCATTCGTCAAATAATTTTAACAAAGTTTGTAAACCACATTTGTGTTGTTAACGCTTATAACTAATATGCCAAATTTCGAAACCCGCCAATATGTAAATTCATGTATATCTTAGAAAATTTTGAATAAAAAAAACTAAATTTTTTACAGGTGTGCCTATAAAAAATTTACAGGTGTGCCTATATACTTTAAGATGATGTTAAAAATTTTATAGGTTATAATCAAAATTTTAAAAATAAATCATAAAAAATGCGCGAATTTTATTTGGAATGAACCTAAATTTTGAGATACGAAAGGAATCAAATAAGTATAATAAAAAAAAAGAGATATTAACAAATATATACCAAATTCAGTTAACATTGAGGAGCTAAAATTTTGAGAGCTAATTTTTTAAAACTACTCTTGCGATTTTTACAGAGCTTGGCAATCTGGCATAATTTGAGTCATAGAATCGGAATACTAAAAAAACTTGGTATGTCATTTCAGAAAAAGTCTGATTTTGTGTCAAAATACCTATATTAGAACAATGCCGTATATAAATCTAATACATAGCCTAAGTCATGCTTTTAAGACATGAAAGGCACAATTTGAATTTCGTCAATTGGCGCAGCAGAATCGGAGATATAGAACTGTCCCCCTTTTTTTCTTGTGCAGTGTACTTATTTTTTAGTTTTTAGCTCTTTTTCTTAAAGGAATTTTTTTTTTTTTTTTTTTTTTTTTTTTTTTTTTGTTTCATATGAAAGCCCAAACTAAATAAACAACTTTTATTTCTAATCTATAGCATCAGGTGGTAAATTGTACTCCAGGAAATAGCTTTATAAAATAAATATATTTGCAGTAAATGAAGTATAGATAAACTTCAAAAATGAGTGTGTTTTTAACACAGGTTGTGGCTTTCTAAGGAAGAATATTCTGAATAGCTTAAAGCTTGTGAAAACAGTCAGACCATGCATTGCTCGTGTAAAACTGAAATCAACATAGCAAGCAAGGGAGAATCTGCTTTAACCCTTTGGATTTTAACTTTGGATCACAAATGCCTCATTTCACATTTTGGTTCATGAACAAATTATCTAAATACACAATCCTTGAAGACAATTGGTGTATTAAGTTATGAGCATTCAAGTCAACATGATTTTCAGAGGTAATTTGTGGCACATAGTTAACACTTGGAGCATTCTCGAAATATTAACTGAATATTTTCCTTTCCTTAACTCTCATTAACAAAGTCTTGCAGAAGGGGATTTATTGGACCATGATTTATGCATGTAGGAAATTGTGGCTAGATTCAGAGGAAATTATGACAGACTTTGAGCACTTTAAACTTGAGAATTCTTTTGTTACCTGTGATATTGTGTCTAGGCAAAAATATGGGCTATTAAGTATAAAAGTGTGGAGAAGGTAATTTAGAGAGCCATAAAATGAGCTCAATGCAAAAGAACTACAACAGTTTCAGAAGCAAGAACAAATGGTGATTTAGGAAGGCATCTCTTTAGAAGAGAAAAAAAGAAAAATAGTTCTCTGATCCAAGAAGTTTATACAAAATCGGGTATGATGCAAAGTTTTGACATGATCATATCATCCTGGTATAGCAAGTTACATCAAAAGCATTTTCAATGACCTGCCATATCTCACTTCAAAAACGTATTAAAGTGTAGCAACTACAAATCACGTTAGACAAATTGTGAGTGAAACGGGGGCTGCTAGACAATAACAACTTCACTGTTTTTCACTTTGCAGTCTCCTTTTGGGGGGGGGCAAGTTCAGTAAAATAAATTTTTGGTCTATTTTATATATTTAATATTGTGTTTATGTGTATATTTAATGATTCCCATCAAATTTTTGTTTATGAACTTGTTCACAAAGTATTGTTGTAAAATTAAAATAAACAATTTTCTCTGTTCACTAACAACTTAATCCATTTTATATTAATTCCTATGTGTGAAATTATTTTGTTTTATGAACATTTCGGTTGACAAGTGTCTTTTAGGAATGACTTAACTAATTAAGCTCATAAACTGAAGTTTCCCTCTAAAAGTGTTAAAAAACTTATCAAAGTAAAGCAAACATTTTTATTAGTTAAAGAAGACGTGATGTTTTTCTGTTACCAAGAGGATCGTGTTTTTTTCTTGCGAGAGCTACATCCTGAGGATTTTCCTTCTTCCCAGAGTAGGCAAAAAATTATTTGGGGCTCCCAAAGAAGAAAGGCCTGCATCAGATCTTCAAATCTAATTCTTTTATTTATATTGTTTGGCCTTTTATGCCTGACTTTAAGCATGGCTCATATTTTAGTCCTATCAGCATTTTACAGTGTACTAGATTAATTGTACATGGTAAATACTTGGGCTGGTTGTAATTTAGATCAGGACCTCTGATATCGTGGCGAAAGTTCAACATTGTTTTGATTCTCGCGGTATAGGTTTAATAAAACTTCTGTGATGAATGGTTCATTGTGAAATTGTCACTGTGTATGTATGCTTTACACCCTATTTTTGTTCTGTATTTTAATGAAAATATAGTGGACAGTCTGCTACATGTATTTTCATGTTAATGTTTAAGGATACTAAACTAATTTTTGAATTGTGAATTTTAGAAACTAAAAGCTAAGTAGCATGACTGTTGCAGTATGTCAGAAAATAATTATTTCATCTAAGAGCATTACTTGGTTACTTTTTAAGCTGTAGTTTAAATCTATTTAAGCAAATTAAAAAAAAAAAGGGGGGGACTTGCTGAGTTTTACTTACATTGTATAAAAATGACAGTGTTGTTATTTAATGATAAATTATTAGGCAAATATGATTGTAGTGTAGTTCTGTAGAGGAAATGTTGCACAATTACATGATTATTTTCATTTTAAAAAAGTGGTGCAATGAACTGGGAATTTATGTAATATTCAATTTGTTGATATTGAAGAAATACGATGCAGCATGACAATTTTCCTATAGTGCTATCTTTGTTGATTTTTTTTTTCTGTTACTATTTAATATTTTTCATTGGTTATTTTTTAAGATCCTGATGCTCCAAGCCGTCAAAATCCCAAGTATCGTGAATGGCATCATTGGCTTATTGTAAACATCCCTGAGACTGATGTTAGTTCTGGCACTGTCTTATCTGAATATGTTGGCTCAGGGCCTCCTAAAGGAACTGGTAAGTATAATTTTAAAAAATATTATCAAAAACTTAAATTAATAATAAAAAAAACCATCCCAAGAAAATGCTAATATTTTATAAAGAAATTTGTTACATTTTAAAACTAGGAATAAAAAATAAAGACAATCCCTTACTGTTTTGAAAAATTTTTATAATTTTTTTAAAGCTGATATACCAATTATATTAAAATTTACATACTTTATAGATTACTCATATTTTTATGTTCCAGACTGATTTCTCAAGGGCTAGTAATCTGAAACATCAAAACCTGGAAAAAAAATTTAAAAATTATATATTATTCTCATTTTTGCTTATAATTTGCATGTCAAAAATGCTCATTTTTAAATGAGTCATTTATTGTGTAGCCTCCTGCTGAGTGTATTCAATAAGAAAGTGAATGCAAGCTTTTGACCAAATATCTCCAGCTATATTGTATTGCTTTTTTTCTTTTGCCTTTAAAACAGTTACTTTTTTTCATGTGTGACCTATTACAGTAACAATGATAATTTAGTTATGTAGTTTAATAATATAGGCATGATATAGATAATGGTCAGACTTGCTCTAAAATTCCCAAAATTTCCTGAAAGCTTCCTAAATCGGTCTGAAATTTTACATTGTTCCGTTGCCATAGCTCTTAATTCTCCTGGTTTTTCATCACATCTCCCAGGGCAATACCAAATCTTACCGTTTTTAATTTTTAGCTTTTAATAATGAGTGTTTCTCTGCAGTAAATGAAACTTGTGTAAATTTCATTTTCCAACACTTCACTAGGGCGATCAAATTTGAACGAGTGTTTATTAGCTGAGCGTTGCAGTGGGTACTTGTATGTGTTTTATTTGAAGTCGTTAAATGGAGTTGCCAAGAGTAAGGGAACACACCAGCTGGCTTGCCCTGTGCATTATTTAGTAGCCCTTATGATGAATGAGAGGAGTGTGCCCATCTCTATTCAGCAAAGCATAATTATAAAGTTTCTCATCTGTGAAAATGTGAAACCAGCAGAAATTTACTGCAGAATGCATACTCAATTCCTGGAAACTATTCTCCCATGGTCGATGGTGAAGGTTTGGTGCAACGAAATTCAAGCAAGCCAGTGAATGTGCTGCGAAACAAGTCATCCCCATCGTCCTTGCACCAGTGTGACTAAAGGAAAAACTGCACGTGTTCATGAGCTTATTGAACAGGATCTACGCTGCACAGTGCTTCAAATTTCAGAACTTGGTATCAGCTGTGGAAGTATCCAATCAGTCATCAGAAAGCAGTTGGGGTACAGAAAAATCTCAGCTGATTGAGTTCCAAGATTACTAAATGATGATCAAAAAGCTGCACAAGTTCACATTTCTCAGTTGCTTCAAACTCCTTTTGAAGAAGACGAACCTTTTTTGCTTAAAATTTTTACTTGTGACGAGACGTGGATGCATCATTACATCCCCTTCTAGTCGGAACCTGCAAGCAAGGGGAGATGGAAAACACTTGTAATCCAAAACCTCAGTTGTCTGTGGGAAAAGTGCTAAACTGGAGGGGGTCCTGCTGTTAGATTTCTTACGCGGATGTCAGCCCATCAGTGTAGCTTTCTACTACAGTCTCTTGGATTTAGTTAGGCTTCAGTATCAAAGCAAAAGTTGAGACTCCCATTCGCCAGGTGTTGATTCTCCTCAAAATGGCAGGCCCCACACTGTAAGTGTAATACAGCAGAAACTGGTGAAAATGCACTGGAAAACATTTGATCATGAAGCGTACAGCCTAAACGTATTGCTATGTGATTTTTTACATGTAGCCCCCCCCCAAATATTCGTGCTTAACTGGTTAGATACCCATCCAACTTCATTCTACGAGAATGGAATGAAAAAAATTACAAAAACATGGGGGAAAATGTAGCATAAAAGGAGAAGATTATGTAGAAAAATAATTCTTAGAAAGGTAGATGTTTCTTATAATGTAATTGTGATTAAACAAAAGGCTTGTTTATAGGTTACTGTCATATTAGATTTACCCTTGTAATTTTCAACACAATTTTTCTTATTAAGTTTTAGATGTGAATTGATGTTTGTAGAACTTTTTAAAAGGATTCTACAAATGTTAAATTCGTTAAAAAATATTTTTGTGCAATTTTGTTTTGCTTCGATTTAAATGGAGTACTAAGCAGGGCTGTGGAGTCGGTACGGAAAATGTCCGACTCTGACTCGACTTCCTCATATATGTATATATGTAAACATATACACATAGGTTAAAGCTTATTTTTTATAATATAAAAGAAGTAATAGATACTACAGAAAGAAAGTTGATGGCATAGCAAATTATTTATATTAATTAGCATTTATTATGAAATGGAAAAACTGGCATTAGTTATTTGTAAGAAACAGTATAGCTTTGGCAAGATCTTTGTGAGAGGGCCATAGATCCAATTTGATAAACTTCAGAGCTGAGAAGAGTCTTTCCACACTAACTTGAGTAGAAGGAAGAGCTGTTACTGTTAAGGCTACTTCTTTTAACTTTTCAGGATAGATTTTTTTGTAAGTTCTAAAAGAGGTTGCAAGTGCAATCATATTTCTCTATTTCTTCAAAGGCCATGTAGAAGTCTTGTTTGTATTTTGTCATTTTTATAGCTAAAGGCACTTGGTTCTTTAATTTTCATTCGCTTTGCCTTAGCCTTTTCAATATTATCCAAAAATATTTCTCAAAATCTAATTCATCACTGGAAGTCGATGATAGAGACTCAGTTGCAGTGTCTGCAGATTGACTGTCCTGATTCGCATTCTCCAGTTGTTCTGAGAATAATTTCATTCATAGATGGCTTTCTTTGCCTTTTTAATTTGTTCGTCATCCAAGAAAATTTGGTGTTTCAGATCTACATATATTGAACCCAGCAAGATCTCGTTGTCTAGCAAACTAGTTTCTCTTTTCTTCATTAAAGAAATGATTCCATCTGCAATAAATCCTCATTTCAGAGAGAATAAACATCCCATTCTTCCATTCTCGTCTCCTGTCAAGTCTTCAGATTGCAGCCTTTTTTTGTGACTATATACAGTGTAGAAAGAAGAGTTTCCAATTCTGCAAGATCATTCCACAGTCTTTCTAGTCTTTCTATTAGTGAAACATTAGGGTTATCTACATCTTCTAAAAACCTCTATCAAATACGTACTTCGTACTTCCTTATCGCATTGCTTGATCAATAATTGCTCCTTTTTCTGCTCGCTTCTGAAGAATGGTATCAATTTTGGGAGTTCTTTTGGATATTGCTGCTTATCTAAATTTACCAGTGAGATCTGTAACTAAATGAATCAGTTTAATCACTAATGGCAAATATCAAATCCATGCTCCTGCCTTATATTTATTTATTAATATATATGGTCCATAAATAAAAATAATAACTCAGCTTGTCATTAATTTTTTTAAATTCATTTTTATTTCATTTCAAATTCAAACTGTCCAACAAAAACTGGAGTCGGAGTCAGAGTCGACCTCTTTTTAGAGACTCCAGCTCCTACTCCTTTTACCTCAAAATCTGGCTGACTCCGATTCCACAGCCCTGGTACTAAGTTTATTCATTTATGTACATTAATTTTATTTTCTGTGTACTCAAAAATATAAATAAAAGCTTTTCTTTACTGCTGAGGATTTTCCGAGTATAAAAGTATAGAAACTTTATAAAATGAAATCCAAAGAACATAAAATTTAAAATAGCCACAAAATATTCATAATATTAGATGTAGTGCAGTTACTAGAATCATGCAATATGAAGTAAATGTAAACAGTTTAGAGTTCTTTTAAAATAGCAGTTCTGTGTGACATTAAAACCTTGAAGCTTCAAGTTTTCGTGTAGGAATCTCCCGAATGTGACAGCTGTGCCATGTCCATTTTATGAAAAGAATTACATTTCATGAATACCTTTTCATTTCTTTTATTGATAAAAACTCTTTAAGAAAACTCTTATTTGGATTATGTAACAGTAAAAATGCATTTGCTCATTAGATCTATCATAAAACTTTATGTTATGCAATGTGTGTGTGTGTACAAATAAATTAAAACATAATATAAACAAATTCAAATACTATTCAATTTTGCAGTAAGGAATTGGCACAAAATAATCAATTGTTATGAGCCACGAGATTATTGATCTTTCTTTAAATTATAAGTCTGAATAAGCTGAAAGAAAATTCAAATTTCTAGTTGGGGGGGTCAACTAAGATGAGAACTAGTCTAAAATATTCAAAATAATACAGTGCAGAAACAAAATTTCTACAAAAGTAATTTATATGCAAAGAGAGTGTGGGGCGGAAAGGATTTTACATCGCTCAGCACATATTTGTCAGGGTTTCGGTATACCAAGAAACATGAAAGAGAAACCTATTTCTGAACTGATGAAATCACAAATATATAAAATTCATATTAAATTGGGAAAATATAAATTAAATCAGTATTTGCATCCATATGGGCTGGAATCAAAAAAGGCTCCTTGCCCAAATTTAAATAAATTCAAACAGTTAAACTAACCCCCAACTAAAAACAGAAGTGAATCCAAAAATAGAAAATACAATATGAAGAATAATTTTTTTTTCCCCAAACTTCAGGGTTGCTTTGCTACCTGGAAAACCGAAAAAAAGTCAGGGAATTCGAAAATTGACAAAAAATGTCAGGGAATTTCATACTGCGATATGTATGAAATGAGTACCATAACCTGTATGAATTATGGTGCTTTTGCATGGTAATGGTCCTGTTAATGTTCTTAACAAAGAATGCTCCAGTGATGGAATCTGCTGTGAAGCCACAATATTCAGCGATTTTTTTGTGATTCAAATAGGATTTCATGAACTCCATGGGGTTGTTCAGATACCCAAATTTGAGGATTGTATGTGTTAACAGTCTCATTTGTGTGAAAATGGGTTTCATCTCCGAATTCTCCGTAGCCAAGAATTGTTGACCTTCATCCTGATAAGAAAAATCAGAGTCAATGCCACTGGTTTATCATAATTGCTTTAACTCTTACGTGCGCCTTACCTTGTGTGAGTAGAACTGTCTGAAAGATCTGCCATAGCATTCAAAGATTTAAATCCTAGTTGTTACACTATTCAGACACTTCTAAAGATCCCATGGGTGCCATCAGCGATTGTATTTGTGACATCTGTAACTGTTTGGACACTGGCTTCTACCCTCTTACGAAACCGAACTGCTAAGGATCCTGTTTCTTCAAGTTTCTGAATCATGCATTTCAGTAAATTAATTAATAGAGGTCCTTTATGTAGGTTGTTATGACTTCTAAATTCATGAAAATGATGGTTGCATTTGATGGGGATAGAGCCACTTTGCAAGTAACGTGTGCTGAGGTAAAGTCAGACACATGCTGAACCTAGCTAACACTCAGAATATCCCCCCTTATTATTATAGACTGAGAAACTGATGCTGCTGTGTACATAACTGGGTATTTGCATTTCAAATTTTTCCTGTGGTTCGTGCAAATTTTCAGTTATGTTGACTAGAACAGTGTCTATTTCCTCCTATTGGTAACATTCGGAGCTAAATTTTTTCATGGAACCTTTCTTCTCATGTTGTCATAAGGCTTCGTACTGAATTCGGTGATACTGAAGCTGATAGATCGAGCTACGGATGGCTCTGAGTATTGTCAGTTAAAAAATAACACCAAATGTATATATATTCATTAACGTAGCAAAGAACAAGTTCATAAAAGATAGTAATAGTTATGCGGATTTATTTCTCTTTGTTGACAAATATTTTTCAAGCAAGTGCGGTTAAAATTGGCACAGGGAACATGCTTAATCATGAAAAAGAAGGTTCCTTTTAGATTCTTGAAATATGCTTGAAGGAAGGAGGAGCAGTAGGCATTAGGAATTTGGCAGTAGAAAACCAAGTGAGAGAATGCAGTTTGTCCAAGGTAAATAGAATTATTTCAGAATACACCAGTTTATATTCCTAAATAAAAAAATATTCTTGGCTGAATCTGTTATGTACATATTTGCATCATTAACGTTATGCAAGAATCAGTGACATAGATTAATTTTGAAATGATGCAGTTTAAAACAATTTATTATCAGTAGTTAATATTTTTAAGACAAAAAGAGGAAGTAATCAGCTTAAAAGTAAAGGACTACAGTAGAATTCCAGAAATCCGCAAAGCTTGGGACCAGAGGTCGTGCGGATTTTACGATTTTGCGGATTTCAGGACAGAAAAGATAAAGCATAATATTCGGACTAAAAGTGCAAAATGAATAAGGCATAGTAGATACATTAAATTAAATTATTATATACATTATTGCAATAATTTATTATATGCATTAAATTATTACATATGTAAATTGATTATATTATTCATTGTATTTTATGTACACAGCATCGAGGTTTGCCGATTTCGCCTCATGCAAAGATATCCGGTTTCAGATTCCGGTGTTAGAATCACTGTTGCTGTAAAATTTCAACAGGTTTTCTTTATTTTTCCGTATATCATACACAATCGTGTCGCAATTCCACACCATTCTGCTATACCATCGAGGAGTAGCATCTGCTTCCATCTTTTGCAGAATGTGCACTTTTTGCGTTACCCGTCGAATGCAACGTGTTTATGGTTTTCAACGTTGCAAGCAGTAAAATCATGAGTGCGTTTCTTATACTGTGATTGTATTAAAAAGGGCTGAAATGTAAAAATACTTCTTAACTTTATCCCACAAAATATCCGGATAAAAAAAAGGCAGCACTAAACAATCTCGTGAAATGAAATAGCAAAGCTCAGAAAATACAACAACGTGAATCGTGAACTTGAACAAAGAGTTGAGTGAATCGTCTGCTTTTTTTACTGCGATGCAGATTAGAGGGGGGAAAACTTATTTATTTTATCTAATTTTTTAACTTTTTTATATCAATAATTTGGTATTTCCGTTTTAACTCATTATTATTCGGTAAGTATTTTTTTCTTCGATATTTCGTATTCAATGTTGCGGTTTCCGGAACCTATGAACTGAATGTTTATATTCTGAGAGGCAACATGGATTTCAGGTTGGCAGATTTTCGGTATTTGACTGTATTACAAATTGCATTTAGTATATTGATTTACATATTTTTTTTACCGTGCATAAATATAATAGGCAGATATATCTGCATTTGCTTCAAAATTTTTTGTCAATAAAAATAAATAAAGCAGCACAATATTTCTGAAGTGAGTGTGTTAGCTTGAGAAATTAAAATATACCAACTTTAGAAACCTTGTTTTGAACTGAAACTAAATGTGCTATACCAAGATGTTTATAAATACCATGTGGTTGATCCATGTTCCAAGTTATGACACCATGATAAATTTTTAGAAATATGCATTCAGATATCAGTGTATGTGTGTTGTGTGTGTATATATATATATATAGTACTTATAATGTATGTTTTTATAAATGTAAGTAAATTTACTGAATGACACAATAGCATCCAGCTTTCCTTGTTTAACTGGGAGACTCCTAGTTTTTGATCATCTTCGTGTGGATCACTGAATATTTCCGTTTAGTTTATAGCCATTCCTAAGTCGAGTGTTTTCAGCTATAAATGAAATTTACTGAATTAATAAGTTAAATTGTGCAAATTTTGTTCCATCACAGTGACTTTCTGTGTTATTGAATATTGTTTTATCTAGATTGTCTGTACCTCGTATGGATATTGAACAATTTTTTAATAAATATTTGTATTTAATTTTGTTTAACAATATATGATGCATCACTAAGCTTATCCACACAGTAGTATATACCGGTTGGCCATAATTAAACTGACAGTGCTCACAGTGTTCTGTAGCGCGATCTATTTGTGAGAATGACGCCACATTTTTTAGGAAGATTAAACAAGACGGGGGACGAAGGATTCCGCGAAAAAAAAATTAGTTCCAAAAGTCACCGCTAGGGGAATATTTGGCGCTGTGTAATAGAAAATAGAGTGTTAACAAATGCAAATCAATACGGAAATTACCTTTTATTTTGCATTCAAATGAGGTTCAATGTGGCTGCCGTTGTTGTGGACCACATATTGCATTCTGTGCACAGTATGCACAACAGCAGAAAGTAACATGTCTGCAGGAATCTCCCGTACAGTCCGTGATATGTTATCCTTCAACGTAGCCAGGTCCTGGACCACTCCTTGATAGACCTTGGACTTAAGGTAACCCCATAGCCAGAAGTCGCATGGGGTAAGATCAGGCGACCGAGGTGGCCATGCAGTTGGAAAGTAGCGGCTAATGACTCTTTCTGTTGTGAATTTCTGTCGTAGCATCTGTTGCACCCGTACAGCAACGTGTGGAGGGGCTCCATCTTGCATGAAAATGATTTTCCCCAGGCATTGTCTTTGCTGAAGTGCCGGAATGACAAAGCTGTTCAACATGTGGCGATATTTCTCTCCGGTAACAGAACAGGTTTCCGGTCCTGTCGGGGTAATGTTCTCATAGAAGAATGGACCTACGATAAATTCCGCTGTGAACCCACACCAAACAGTTACCTTTGGTGAATGTAAGGGAATTGCTGTGACTGCATGTGGTGATTTGTCGTCCCAAATTCGGCAGTTCTGGGTATCCACAGTCCCATTCAGGTAAAAGTGGGCCTCGTCTCCCCATAAGATTTTCCACGGCCAAGCATCATCCACATCCATTCTGGCAAGAAAGGTGAGAGCAACAGTCAATCAATCACTTATCATGGTCGGGGTACAGTAACTCCTGTACATGGCTGATCTTGTACGGATAGAAGTTGATAATCGTTCATAAGATTTTCCATACCATACTGTACAAGGCATATCCATATTCCGAGCTGCTCCACGAGCGCTAGAGGTGGCAGCAATATTGTCTGGTCCTCTGTCGACAATCGCCGTGGCAACTGCTTCGATTGTATCCTGTGGTACAGGTTTTCGTCCTCTGCCTGACTGAACCTTCAGAGAACCTGTTTTTTTCAAACGTCGCAACCATTGCTTTTAGCCCATTAACTGACACAGGACCGTTACCTTTACGCATTTTTTTGTGCGTTCTAAAAGCACGAAGAGCGGCTGACGCGTTGCACTGGTTGAGGTAAAAGAATTTGACCAGTAACGCACGCTCGACTAAAGAAGGAGACATTGCACATAAACTTTCAATCCGATTGATACGAAACGTAACACATTGCCTTTTAAAACCCAAGCAGCTGGCACTGTGCGAATGGATGTAACGTGAAATTTGAATAAAGAACTTCTTCTTCTGCTCAGCGTACGTGATATTGCAGATCACGAGACTTTATCGGTGTTTATGTAGATTTTACGCTTTTTTAAAAGTGTTGCCATATTGCACTTGAACTAAATCAGAAAATGTGCATAATAAAAGGTAATTTTATTCCGTATTAATTTGCATTTGTTAACACTCTATTTTCTATTACACAGCGCCAAATATTCCCCTAGCTGTGACTTTTGGAACTAATTTGGTTTTTTGCGGAATCCTTCGTCCTCCGTCTTGTTTAATCTTCCTACAAAATGTGAAGCACACTGTGAGCACTGTCAGTTTAATTATGGCCACCCGGTACATCAGTTATTTTTATTGTATTATTTTGATTGTATACTTATGTTGATATGTTTTCATTGTAATAAATGTAAAGTTTGAATTACTGTTATTTGCTTGCATTTATGTGTGTCTTGTTTGACTAGAAATTGTGTGAATTGAATGAATGTCATGTATATGAAGTGTATTGTTATGTAACGTTATTATTTAATAACTTTTTAAAAATTTGCAGGTCTGCATCGGTATGTTTTTTTACTTTACAAGCAACCTGGTAAACTGAATTGCGATGAGAAGCGATTGCCTAATACATCTGGTGATCATCGAGGGAATTTTAAAATTCAGAATTTTGCCAAAAAGTATAACTTAGGCCAACCTATTGCTGGAAATTTCTACCAGGCAAAGTGGGATGACTATGTACCGAAACTATATGAACAACTTGCTGGTGGAAATTAAAAAGAGGTTTTTCAATGAATAACGCAATCATTTACCTTATTTTCCAATTTGCTGGATTGAATTCATAATGTAAAGTGGTGATAATAAATGTAAATCTCTCAAAATTTCAGTCATGTAGGATCATATTTTTTTGATAAATAAAATTTATCTTAAAATTAGGAATTTAGTGAATGAAATCTTTATTGTACAACTTCAGACATATTTCACACAAGAATACGTAGTTTTAACCTCGTAAGTATACATGTAATTTCACCTGTGGACACTCATCCATACTTTTACAGTTTATCAGTAAAATTACCAATGTGTTATGTAGAGTAGACAGTTTTAATCCCAGACTATAATAAGTAAAAAGAAATAAAAGAACGAGTTTAAAATATTGGTTTATTGCAAAATTTAGTACTGAAATTTTGTAGATGGTAAGAACACAATTGGAGAAAGGACAGAGTTTGATTGCTATGTAGAAAGTCGATTTGTAATATTTTGGAAAGCTAGAAGCATAAAAATTCCGTTTAGATTCACACAGCTAGTGAACTCAGAATTTGTGCAAGAGAGGCCTGTCAAAACAGAAAAGGTGCAGTTTCATTTATGTCTTAAGTTTTATGAGTTTTTAAGAGAAGAAATCATTGGAACTGCAATAGAAATTTCTAATATATATTTGGAAATGTCTCAGTGCAGAAAAATTTTTATGGCAGATTTCAAATTGGTGATCTTAATTTAGGTGGTAAATCCTGCTTTGGATAGCCTTTGGGCTAAAAAAACAGTTATGTGTATGTTTTAGAGAAAATGGGCTAATGATTGCATCTGAAGATATTGCTAAGAGCTGAAGATTGACCATTTGTCTTATTTTGTAATTTATGAAAAATTAATTTCACTGCTAAACTCAGTGAATGAATGTGGCATTTTTTGATCGAATAAAGGGGTGAATTGTATATGCAGCTATTTCTGTAGTCATTGCATGATAAAAGCTATGTTTAGGTAGTTGTAATAGGTGATGTAAATAGGATCTTGTGCAGTGGAAAAAAAGAAGCAGGTGAAACTGCAAAACACGTGAAAAAGCTTTTTTTCATTTAATAAAAGTATTACTACTTGTTTGTTGGGGTTATAAGGTAAGAATTTTCTTTTATTCTCTTCCATTAGGCAAAACAGAGACGGCAGACAAGTATTGTAAACTTGGCAAACTCGGTGTGAAAAATCCCCCAAAATGGCCAGAGTTATCCATCATCATGATGAAGCCAGATTATATATTGCTTAAGTGACTCGATAAATATTAGAGGAGTTAAAATAGAAAATTCTTTTGCAAATAGTATATTTTCTGAACCTCTGCACTCTAGATTTTCTTCTGTTCCTATATCTGCATAGTAGTTCAGTATCAAGGAGTTTGATTCTGTGAAGGCTGTCAAAATTAGCTCAGCTTTTTTTGCAGAAGAAAACCATGACCATGTGTTATTTAGTAGATTTCACAGTAGTTTCTACAAAGAGGTAATCCATAAGCTTATAAAACATACATCATTAATGAAAAAAAAAACCCTGTGTTCTTTCAAATATGACTGTTTGTAATTAGGCAAGAAAGCAACTTAAGGTTGGCATATATTTGGACTAGAATTTAAGGTCGAGACGGGTCAGTTTCAAGAGCAAAATAATCTTGTGATGCTGGCTGGAGCAATATCTGTTTATATAGAAATCAAGTGAACATAGTGAAAACAATGTAGCATCATCTGTGTAGGAAAACAGCAATAAAGTGTGAAAAAGCTGAGGTGCTAGAATTAATCTTACTCACTGTAAAAGATAAATCTTTGTGAATATGGAGTGCTGCAAGGAAATCCAACGCTATGGATAATTTTTGTAGTTATCTTACCAACTAATATTAGCTATCAAGGATATGTTCTTTAACATATGATTTGTGTTGTCTGGTGCAGAATTTTAACTCTTTTAGTTTGATACATGATATATCATTTAATATGATCATGTTTGTCTGCAGCTATTTTGCTAACATTAGCCAAATGACAGCTAAAATATCAGTGGTATTTAAACAAATATTAATCTAGTAGAATTATAAATGCTTAATTTCACATCTTAATTAGAAAAAATTCATTAATAATGGATTGTTTGTAAATGTTTCTTGAAATTATTTGATCATTCCTGTAGTAATCTCTAATATGTAGAGGATATCTCTCATCTCAGTATTTGTAGGAAATTACTGATTTTATCATTTTCAGAAAGTTCGTATCATGATATAAGGGATTTATTTCGGAAAATGACTTGGAAATAACTTTAGTCATCATTGTTGTAACTTGAATTTTTATATTCTTTTCCACTAAGTTTTGAATTCCTCACTATTCATGTTGGAAATGTTTTTTCATCAACTTCCCCTGTTTCAACATTTTTCTTTGAAGTGTAATTTGTTTAAAACAGATCTTTGCCTTTTTTGACACATGGTCCAAGTTGTTTAGCAAATGCATTGCATGAAAAGGCTAAGAATTTTCCTCGCTGTTTTATTTGTACTTATATCAGTATCATTCATGTGCAAAGGGAATTGGATGTTCCCTTTAATGTAGTTCTTACATTGACAGTAATATTACAAAGAGGAATAATTTAAAAAAAAAAATTGAATCTCCGAATTGCCTATATTGATGACGTTTTCATGCTTTTTTATGATAAGTATGGTTACGAAAAATGTGTTATGGATTCGATTCAGTTAACTTTTGAAAATTAATCAAATAATTTCCTTCTTTTCCTTGGCATTTGAGATATCTCCAATTAATTTGATTTCAGCACTGTTTATGTTGAACAGTTTTCCATGCTTTTATTTTCTCCGACATTTATTGATAAAAGCTGGCAAGCTACCGAGCATTAGGTTTTCTTTGATGTTCCTGTTTCATTGCACCGTGTTTTTGGAAAGTTGGTGATGCCTATGATTTTACTACTACAATGTTATTGAAGATAAGGGACTTTTGGGTTGAGCAAAGATCTGTGGCTCAAGCAAGCATCCTACTTTTAAGGTAATAGTGATCTTTTATTGCCAGCTTCATTGCTTTGAAAATATAATCACGATTAGTGAATGGGCGTGTAACAAGTAAGAGTGCTTCTGCTGAAGTTAATGAAACTGAGTTCAGTAAAAAGTCAAATTAAAGCTTTCATACATTGCTAGTGTTTGGATCTATTTTTGGCACGATGGCTCATTGGTAACCAAGCTGCTTCACTTTCTCCTCACTGCATTTGTATTGCAATACCAGAGACTGTCACAATTGAAATCAAGTGTTGTATGCGTTGTATGTCATTTTTTTGAATCTGTGGGAAGCAGCTGCAATATGTGGCCTGCTTAGTTGGGTCCTATTCTGTGCTGTCAAGCTTGTTGGGAAGTTCCATGGTATGTTTAACCTCATTTATTTTTTCCACATGTGTCGAAGTGTATGATCTTGTCAAATCTGTGGAGAACTGGAGTTAGTCTCTTTTTGCTGGACGTAGGGATTGTCATTATTTGTATAGTTGTCTCATCTTTATGTGATAGATGGAATGAATTATTTCAGAACTTTTTTTTTTTTTTTTAATAATGGCAGTGTTTATGAATAGAGGACACTACCAGCATTCGTTGCTACTCTGTAGTGCTGAGTCATAATCCTGGACCGTATGTGGTCACAATTGACAGTTGAGAGCAGAATCTGGACACCCGTGCAGCTTACTTAGACTATTCGGGTCTAGTCCAGGTTCCGCAACTGTCCGGGGCAACACCTCATGGGCCCTGTATGGGCATACATTGATCCTGTATACATGATTACATAGTTCATAATTATGCTTATAGTTACATAGTTCATAATATATGCTTACATAGTTCATAGTACATGCTTATATATAAGTAGTTCATAATACATAGATCTTTCATAATATGTGCTTACATAGTTCATATTAAATGCTTACATAGTTCATATTGCTTACATAGTTCATACTTGCTACATAGTTCATAATAATTTTCATTGGTCATAATACATTCATAATAATTTTCATTGGTCATAATACATGTTTCATTATATATACAGTGGGCCGTACATGTTTCATAATATATACAGTTTAAAAAAAGAGAGAGATTGACAGGGAACTGTTCCACACTGTACAAATCTGTTCCCAATTCCTCCAGTGTCTGCATTATCTTGCATATTTTGATGTGAAGCGCTGGCTGATTGATCAAATAACGCTTATGAGGAAATGCCTTTTCCGGAAGCTGCACATACCACTGTGCGGTTAGAGGGCATTGGGTCAATCGTCTGGTTTACCAATGCCTCCACAGACACAACTTTCAGTATTTGCAATTCCTCACTCATAGTAATAGGAGGGGAAAGGCCCATGCCCTATCACAAATCTCGTTATTTGTGGGGATGACTCAAGACGATCGAGCAAGACTTTATGGTAATAATCATAGGTCTTCCTACTTTGTTCGGTAGTGTCCCATTCCCATTGCCACTGGTGCTGAGCTGCTGTCCTTGTCACGTTTTTAAGGTGAAACCACAGGATTTGGTAATAACGCTTTGTGCATCGATATTGTGAGCTGCTTCTTTTGCTAGCCTGTCGGCTTCCTCCTTACCTTGAATGCCGGCATGCACCTTTATCCACGATATGAGGATATTAATTGTCGGCGAATGCTCCTTCAGCATGTCCTTAATCTCCGCTATGATATTAGAAGGATGTCTGGGATTTCGTAAGGCATATATGACCGAGAGGCTGTCTGTAAGAATATTAATAGTGGATCCTACTGGGGACTTGTTAACTTGAGAGCTTTGCGAATTGCAATTGCTTCAGCCTGGAAAACTGAATTATTCTGTCCCATATGTTATCAGCGTTTCCTTGTTTAGTTACTATAAACCACAGCCTACTTGTCCGTCAACTTTTGAACCATCCGTATAAACTTAGTATTGATCCTTTATGTCAGAGTCATCTTTCCATGATGTGTGGGCCGAGACTCCTTTTCCGTAGTTAGACGAATGGATGACATTTACTGGCTTTATTTCTTCATGGGGGCTGTCCTGAGAGGTGGTGTGTGCTATAACCCCTTTTCCATGGTGTGAAGGATGGGTTGCATTTATCAGACGTTTTGTTTCATACTCCTCTGGATCAAAGCATAGCGGTCCAAAAGTAGTGCAGAGATTTAATTGGAGGACAGTCGTTACTGC